GCTTGGCAGATAGAAGATATGGTAATTCAAAGATCAAAATACAATTCACAAACACAGCTAGCTTATAGGAGAAAAGTGGAACTGAACATGTAAGCTGGGATGGTATCAGGAATATGCTGTAGAGTTTATACTAGTCACATTCCTGCCTCCTGAAAGCAGGAATTCCACTGGAATGGATTAATGGCATTTCAGTTAATTTAAATAAGGAAAATTGACTCGGCACATGAGCAGACTGGGATACGAGCAAGGTTACGGAACGGATTGAACTCATAAGTTGAGGTTCCACTGTATCTGCAAGTAGAAGCAGGTTGGTTAGGCAACCCAAGGAAACAAATTACATTAACCAAAATTAGTGCTGGATTAGTGATTGCCAGATCAATGATGGCCAACCTGTACTAACCTCAGAAAATCTGATCAAAAGTTCAAACCTAAACAAATCAAAATATACAAGACATTTAAAGGACAATTTAGAAAAAACTTTGCATGAAGAAATATCTTTATTTTCAACAAATTAGCCTAAAATAATTTAATAAATTTGCATTACCTTCATACAACACAATGCTTAAGCATATGAATATTCAATACGAAAACTATTATGCTGTATTATACTTACAGTAATGGTTAAAAAAATCCAAAATGGTTGAGTTAATTTTAACAAGCCCATGTCAGAGCTAGAAAATTAGTTAAAAATGCAAATTTCTTAAATTTTTTAATAAAATGTATGAGCGTATCACAATCATCAAATGACCTTATACAAAAATAGACATGTAATTGATAAAAGGACAAACTTTATTAATCTCTGAAATTCCAGGTATGATGGCAATTTTGGTTTATTGAATTTAAAGGAAATAAGAGCTTACTGCAGTTTCCTTTCAATTTTTGGTTCAGCCTATCAGCCATACATGCAAGTTCTTCTGCATCATTTGTTGATGCTCAATCATCATTGCGATTCCTGAATCACAATCTTTTTGGGTGTAGAGAAATGGTTCAAAATACCGACATGTTGGAAAGTCACAAATGCGGTCCTTTACTGTTATCAAATCACAAAGTCCACTGGGTGCAATGCCTAGTGGGCTAAGACAACAGTGGGCGGAATTATATATATACATATAAAAAAAAAATGGTTGATAGTAACAATCAGTGATGCATGTAAAGGCTCAAGCAAATTACTGAGGATGCAGCCTGGAAGGAAGAAAGTTGGGGAAGATCTCGTGTGTGATACCCTAAGCTCAAGTACTGCCTGAGCCCCACAGTGTAATTTGAAAATCCTGTATTTTCATCTACATTTTAGAAAGCATATGCTACATAATATGAATTTTGGCCCATCTAGAAATCACACTGTAACAAACATGGACTGAAAAGATGTGATAATTAAGGGTTTACCATATTTTATTTTTGGAAAATTCCTAATCTGACGATCTGCTAAGCAGCCTTATTTTTTCCTTTAATCAAAGGAATAGTATTATTATTATTATTATAATCAAAAAGAAGCGCTAAGCCACAAGGGCTAAAGGAATAGTAGAAATACTTTACCTAAAATAGCCAAAAGCAGAGTTTTCAAAGAGTAGACAGAATCTCAACCTGCAGTTTATCAACAGATATGCACACTAAGGTTGCTTAAACAATGTTTTTATACTGCTACCATGGTTATAGCTTTGGCAGCGACCATGGAGACCTATTGGGACACTATCTTAAAAATATAATTTAACCCTTTGACTGTTTCAGGCCCCTCTCTGAAACTGTCATTCTATGTCGCTCAATTTTTGAAAAAAAAAAAATTATTTTTTCTTATGAAATGATAGAGAATCTTTTCCCGATGGTAATGACACCAAAAGTTCGAAATTTGGTCGAAAACTCATGGAATTATGCTCCCGTGAAGTTAGCGGTCTCGGCGACATATGCGTATCGGCGATTTCGCCAACTTTGAGCCCTATTTTCAGCCAATTCCATTGTTCCAGTTGACCAAACTCATAGCTATTTCTTTAGAACTCCATTTTATCTATCAGCTGAGTACAAGAAACCTCCCATTTACTAATTTGGACTACCCAATATGGTGGTCAGAAATTGGCAATTTGGCCAATTTCACGCAAACTAAAAAAAGATGCCAATTTCAAAATAGGGTCCAGAATAAACAAGGTAGACATTCGTGGCACTAAAATAACATATGCTCTGTTCATTAGTCACATCTCTAGGCCCCTCTTATATTATTATTGCTTTCTATTTTGATTTTTTATTCATACAAAAAAATACAAAATTTACTGTTATGCAGACTACTGCATTATTGTAAAAATGGTATAAATAATATCAGTGCACTAGTGAAAGAATATTAGACTCCCCAGTTGACGTGTATTGGACGCGTGATGTGATTTATTTACTCCTGAACATTGGCAAAAATTGAACATTTCCGCTACTTTGAGCTCAGTTTCAAGGTCGTTTTCATCGTCAAAGTAATGAAAAATCATCTCTATTTCTGTAATATGTTTTCCATTTTATCACCTAAGACCATGAAAACACGAATACAACGATAAATACTATACGAAAATACACCTCAAAGTCGGCGTTTTATTCCAAAAAAACGATCAGTTTTTTTTTTCTCATTATGCAATGTGTGCTGCAGGATTTTTTTTATGTGGTGCACACTGACCACACAGACCCATTCTCTCATATGTGGGCCTACCAGCTTTCTCCTGCTTGATTTGAAGCCGCTAGAATTATTGAGTATATATACGTCAGAAACATTGGCTCGTAAGACGTATTTATACGTTGAAAACGGTCAAAGGGTTAAAGAGCATTTCAATAGGTATACTGTAACAAATTACATTAACCAAGTACTAGATTGCTTGTCTCTTATCAGTCACATTATCATAGAAAAGGTAAAAGGGGGTAACATTTTTTTAATTACAGTATACATGTAAACTGACAGCTTAAATGTGTAGTGCATGCCAGTACAAATTATGGTTATAGTGGACATTCATAATTCATGCAGGCTATGTTCCTGAAAGCTGGGCTACCAACGATTTCTCCAACTCAACTACTGAAAAACATCGGAAAATTAGGACTGTGCTCCTCAGACCTTAAAGAAAAAATTAATAATAATTCTTCAAAAACTTAGTACTTTTTCCTACCTAATTTTGTCGATGAGTAAGCTCTGAATACCTGAACTCTTATGAAGTTCAGATTATTATTAATAATTATAATGATAATAAGTGCTAAACTGATCAAGGTTCAGATACTTAACCCTTTGACTGTCGCGGCCGTATATATACGTTTGTGAGGTACCGTGTTTGACGTATATATACTCATAAATTCTAGCGGCTTCAAATCAGGCAGGAGAAAGCTAGTAGGCCCACATGTGAGAGAATGGGTCTGTGTGGTCAGTGTGCACCACATAAAAAAAATCCTGGAGCACGCAGTGCATAATGAGAAAAAAAAAACTCCGACCGTTTTTTTTAATTAAAATGCCGACTTTGTGGTCTATTTTCGTATAGTATTTGTGGTTGTATTCTCGTTTTCATGGTCTCATTTGATAGAATGGAAACTATATTATAGAAATGGAGGTGATTTTGATTAATTTTACTATAAAAAGAACCTGGAAATGGAGCACAAAGTACAGGAAATGTTTGATTTTTGCCGATGTTCAAAAGTAAACAAATGATGTCATTGTCCAATAAATGTCCAAATAGCCATTCTAATACGCAGTCATGAATGGTTGATGTAATTTTTACAATTATTACAGTATTGCAGTAGTCTGCATAACAGAAAAATCTTCTATTTTTTGTTTGAATAAAATTTCAAAATAAAAAGCAAGAGTAATATCACAGGGACCTGGAGACATGACTGATGAACAAAGAAAATATTATTTTAGAGCCAGGAATGTCTGCATTGTTCATTCTGGACCTTATTTGAAATTGCCCGTATTTTTTAATTTTCGTGAAATTGGCCAAATTGCAAATTTCTGACCATGTTATTGGGTAGTTGAAATCGGTAAATGGGCAGTTTCTTGTGCTCAATCGATAGAAAAAATAGAGTTCTGAAGAAATAGTTATGAGTTTGGTTGACTGGAATAACGGAATTAGCCGAAAATAGGGCTCAAAGTGGGCGAAATTGCCGATTTTTAAATATCGCTGAAGTCGCTAACTTCGCGAGAGCGTAATTCCGTCAGTTTTCCATCAAATTTCGTTTTTTTGGTGTCTTTACAATCGGGAAAAGATTCTCTATCATTTCATAAGAAAAAATAATTCTTTTTTTTTTCGAATATTTTGCGACACCAGGAGCAACTTCAGGATTGGGCCCTTCGACAGTCAAAGGGTTAAAAGAAAAAGTACATGTAGTTATAAAATAGGTATTGTACAGTATTTACTGGTCTTCAAGTTATGTTGGTAACACTTAACATCCTGGAGTAGAGAGGGTGGTTGTAGTCCTAATGGGCCACTACCATCCTATTTTATTTAGCTGTAATGACCTATTCCTTATTCTTTTCACCATGTCACATTGAGGATTACTCATTGCACAAGCCTCTATCTTAAGTCTCAACTTGAACAAATCATTGATTTTCTAACACCAAACACTCGTGCCATCTTCATGATGTGTGCACCACACTTGAGCATCTAATTTGCTTGAAATAAGCTTAGTTTTCTTCCTTGCTTCACCAGCATCACCTACACTTTGTATGGAAGCCATTATCTATGTCCAGAGATGATATGGGAATGATGAAAAAAAGGAAAAACTGAGTGATGAGCATCGAGCGAAAATCATGCAGTGTCTTAGATACAATGACCTGTGTGGGAGGCTGCTTGTTTACATGCATTCCCCTCCCTTACACCCTCCCCTGCACTGCTACAAGAGTTGCCCAGTGCACAGTAATGAGCCTTCTGTCTGCCTGCCATGGTGCTCCTTAACAGAAATGTGTGCCACCAATGGAAATGAATTCCACTCTGGCACACCTTAATGGAAGAAAAAAAAATATTTGAATCACATAGTATTGAAAAGACAAGCTATGATCACACAACTTAGTTTTCTACTGTATATTTTTTATTTTCCTAAAGCAAATACATAACTTAAATAGTATCCTGTAAATTATCAAGATTTTATAATTATGTTTCAAGCACTGCCTTTGACATGAGTATCTAAGATTTAATAAAGCTTTCAATACACTCCAACCTATTTTATATGTAGAATATTACTGTATTATTAGACAGAAAAGTACACCATAATCTAATACACATGTACTAAGACAAAAACTAAAATCAAACTATATATTTTAACAAACCAATTATGTATTTTAATTAGCAAGAATATAATTTGAAAATATGCTAGAGAAAAGTAAAATATATAATGAATCATTTAAAGTTTTAGAGATTATAAAATAACTACAGGAAGAATTATTGTGTTACATCATACGATCGTAACATGTACAAATTCTGAACAAATTATGCAAATTATTTTAGATCATATAGTTTTTTTTCACATGCTGGCCATCTCACATCGAGGCAGCATGACCCAATAAACTTTTGCCATCATTCGCATAATCACTGTCTATGCAGTGCCACTCAGATATGATAGTTCAGATGTCACTCCAAACAGCAAATATCCTAAACCATTCCTTGAAAGTGTAGGTATTGTACTTCCCACTTCCAGGACTCAGTTTGGCTAACCAGTTTCCCTGAATTCTCTTCATAAAATAGTTTATATTAGACAATTATTTGTATTCTTTAGGGAAATGAACACAAATGCATTCACCTAAAACATTTTTATTGAAGATGTTTTGGTCTTTAGACCCTGATCACTTCAAATACGTACGTATGTACATATGGAGTGACCAAATACACATGAATCACTTCAAATGCATGCATGTTTTTGAAGTGATCAAGGGCTAAAGATGGAAACATCTTCAATAAAGGTGTACTAAATGAGTGCAATAATGTTCATTTCCCTAAAGAATACAAATAATTACATCTAATATAAATTATATGATTAAAATAATTTGCACAACTTGTACACATTAAGATTTTAAGACATAATACAATAAATGTTCCTGTAGTTATTTTTCACCCCATACTGTGAACAGTGGAAACAAAATGGCTTGAACACTGTCAATCCAAAAAATTTTAGTACAGCATAGAAAATATTTTTGATGTACGTATTCAACTAACTACGGAGCATTTTAGTGCATAACAATCATGTAAAACATTCCACAGAATATAATGTAAGAATAACTTCAATTAGTGCACTTCCATAATCACAAATTTCAAATTATTAATTAGGCAGTAGGACAGCTGACCATGTTGTGATGAAAGCACCTAAACTGAAGATTTTTCTTGGGCTGCACTCACACTGAAGCACTGCTTGCAATGTATCTCAATTTCTCGGTCTTTACGTCCTTCTAATCATGTAACTTTTCCTATCTAGTTAGCTACCTAGACACATTTCCATATGCTCCTTAAATATTTTTATTACAGGTAATTTCCTTAAACAATCACACAGTTTTATTAATTTTCAAACCATTATTTTTAATGTATAAACTGTCTTTCTTACCTGTATGACAGCCAAACCAGGAATTCTTCAAAATATATTTCAAGTACTTGTGTATTTTCTAACACCTGACTGTGTGGAGATAGTTGCTGTAATATCTGGGGAGGAATTCTATATATGTTACTACATCAATAAAGTAGTTCTTTCTCCAAAAATAAAGGGTAAACTATGCAGGTATTAAAAAATTTAAGTACCTTTTATAAAATCTATTATAATTCTTAAATACCTGCTTATACCAACTATTTTTTTTTTTACTGAAAATCACAATGTAACCAACAGTCATATTTTGATAAATTTTAATATACAGTACCTTACTTTGTTTCAAAATCACTAAATTTCCTATAATGCCCTAGTACTTCTTGTCTAAGCCCTAGAAAGAGAACCTCATGTTGGATGAATAACCCAGTTTGTCCAGATTGGGGATGCAGGCAAAGTTGATCATGGGGGGTGGCCCACACATCAGTACAATTGTGTCATCTGCAGGCGGGTAAAGATGCTCCGAGATCATTTCGGAACTTACGAACCCACTGCTGTATTTCCATGCTGAAGCAATGAAGGTGCATTAGTAAAAGGCTTAAAAATTATATGCAGGAATAACTTATACTCTACTAAACCTTTCCTATCTTAAAAAATTCTTGAAGAATCTTGAGTGAAGGCACTGTAAATGTTTCCTCCTTTGAGTCATCCCCATCTTTATAGGAAATGACCTACCATAAATTGAAAGACCATGGAAAAGCATTATCTATTGGAATAATTAAATCTTGCAAAACATATATAATAAATTCATTATTACTGTGAACAATGCAGAAAGTCATATTTTAAAAGTATCAATTAACTTTTTGTTACAGGATGTACCATATTAAATTCATAGCTTACTACTCAAAAAGCAAGACCAGAAAACATTACTTAAAAAAAAAAAAAATAATTACAAGCCAAATATATTTTCCAGCGTCACACAAAAAACAAGGTCTGTCAGCCAAGACCAACTGTAGTTTTTATTTACAACAGAAACCCAGGTGGCAGCTGTATATGAAATAAAAGTGTACAAAATTAGAGAACATCTAACATTTCAAGGAGCCACAAAGAGACGAGAAAATTACTGTTATATGAAAGAGCTATTACACGTAGATAATGCTCTTCTAATTCACCTTCTTCTGGGCGATCCACAGTATACCAGAGCTTGAATTTGTCTGAATGCTGAGCTAACACATCCTCCAGCTCATGCCTGAGCAATATGTCCGCCTCTGTTTGATTGGCAAAGATGAGAGCCAGCTGCGTTTTGTCTTCCTCATCACGAGCCACCTGACGCACCAGCTGGAGCATGGGGGTGATCCCAGTGCCACCTATAGAGTAAAACAATTCATTCTATGTATGGTATTCTCCATGGGGAAATGGAAAAGAATTCAGGGTCCGTCCCGTAGATCTACGGCTTTACGTTCAGGGTCCAAACCGTAGATCTACGTCATGAGCTCAGCTCACTCTGATAAACTGTGAGTGGTACATTTGGGCCTAGATATGAGAGAATACATCTATGTGGTATGTGTGCACCACATAAAACAGATCCTGCAGCACACTGTGTATAATGAGAGAAAAAAACTGAAATCATGATTTTTCAATTAAAACAGCGACTTTTGCAGTGTTTTTTCGTATGTTTTTTATAGTTGTATTTGCGATTTCTTGGTCTCATTTGATAGAATGGAAGACATATTACAGAAATAGAGATGATTTTGATTGGTGTTAGCACTGGAAATGGCTTGAAACTGAGCTCAAAGCAGCGGAAATGTTAAATTTTTGCTGATATTCAAGAGTAAACAAACGACCTCACACATCTAATACACACCAGCTGGTGGGTCTAATATACATTCACAAATATGGTGATGATATTTATATAATTATTACAGTAAATCTTCTATTTTTTGGTGTGAATAAAAATTCATTATGTGAATAAAAAATCAAAATGGAATTTATTTGTAAAGCCTCCAAACGTAACTAATGAACAGAGGAAATGTTAGTTTAGTTCCAGGAATACCTACATTGTTTATTCTGGACCCCATTTTGAAATTGGAATATTTTGAACTTTGTGTCAAATTGGCCAAATTAACAATTTCCGATTACTTTATTTCGTAGTTGAAACAGTCGACTTGGCAATTTCTTGTGCTCAATCGATAGAATAGAAGTAATACTAGTGAAATAGCTAAGAATTTGGTTGACTGGAATATTGTAATTGGCCTAAACTGGGAGTCAAAGTCGGCAAAATCGCCAATTCGTAAATATCGCTGACACATCAAAATTCGCGAGAGCATAATTTCGTCAATTTTCCATCAAATTTCGTACTTTTTGTTTTATTACCTTCACAAAAAGATTCTCTACCATTTCATAAGAACAAATAAATTTTTTTTTTTTTTTAAATTCTTGGACACTGGGGCACCACTTCAGATTTGGGCCTTGGACCCTGAAGGGGTTAAAAAAAACTTTAGTTTTTCTTTTTAGGTCACCCTGCCTCACTGGGATATAGCTGATGTGTTAAATACTGTACATCCTACATAGTGTGTACTCATAGCATTTAATGAAATCTGAAATATACTGAAAGGATCTTGGAGTGATTCCAAACAAGAAATTATTACTCAATGACCACAGTCTTATCCCATTTCCAACCTAACAGTAGGGTTGTGTTCCTCAAAATTCTGCCCATTAGATGAATTAAAGAAATACCACACCTGTTTTTAAATTATCAGTAACTTGATTTCTAGTCGAGTACAAATAGGAAGCAAGTCTGCCTTGCGGTCAGCAGAGAGAGGATCCAACCTCCACCACGTTTTGTGCTGAATGACCCACATGGATTTAGGGCTTAATATAAAATTAAAAAGTAACTTTATTTAGTTTCCCAAACTTCATAAATTATAAGTTTAAGAATAGTTAGGAGTTTTGGGATGGGAATGATTGATGACAAGTATACAAAAGTGGATAAAAAAGATATTGAAAAATGTGGATCAAACAAAATAAATATCAAGAGCTCAGAAACAGCTTGCAGAACTGAATAATACTAGTTATAATAAAAGCCCGAAACTATTAAAATGTGTATGTTGGCTGATAAGTTAAAAGAGAGAGATGATTTCTACACAAGATCATAAAGGGAATATAAAACAGATAAAAAAATCTTTAGCCCAGGTATCCTCAAACAGGAATAACAAAAGATCACAGTTATAAAGCAAATATGGAACTGAAGAAATATTTTTATTTTATGCAGTGGTAAAAAAAAGGGAATGAATTAAAAGAGGTAGCTGAAAAACAATCAAAATTTTATTTATAAAAAATATACTGTAATACACAAGTAATTGAAAATGATTACGGAAATTATGTACATGCTGTAAAATGCTCTTTTCGACAGTCTATATTAGTGAATCGCTTGCAAGCAGCACCTGGGTATCTTTATTTTGAAGATATTTTGCAAACCAGTGGCCTTATTAATAATCTCTAAAGTGAACTGATAAAGCCACAAATTGGTAAATTATCTTCAAAATAAAGATAACCTGGTACTGCATGTGTATGATTCACCATCTTGTCAATATGGTATACCACTGATGTTATGATCAAGGAACCCATTGGAAACAAGTCAGTCTGACTTTTTCTTTGGGTCATCCTAATTAATTTACACTATGTATGATAACTGTACTTATGTGTACCTGTACCTAAATAAACTTACTATCAAGTCTGTATTATTCACAGCATTTCAAGCAGTTATATAAAAGGATACATTAATCTTAATTATAAGTGAAGATTATTTGAATTCAGATGAAATATTTAACCCTTAAACTGTTCAAATGTAGATTCACATTTGTACCGCTAGTGCTCCAAACGTAGATTTATGTTTTATTTTTCCTACTTCCAAATTTGGCATGATTGATCCGAGATGCCTGGTCAGTATAGAATGGGTCTTAACACTCGGTGTGTGCAGTATTAAAAAAAATTGGGATCACTTAGTACCTTGTGGGAACACAAGTTCAATTGATCACCAGCCAGAGCAAACAGCATGGCAAACACCAAGGATTCACTGATGTCATGTCGTACTAACACTCCCCTTTTAAGAGGAAAGTGATGGATGTGGCCACAAGTGGTTGTGGAAATATCAAAAACCTCTATAATAACCCATGTGTACCATATGTGCAACATCCTTTCATTTTTGATACCACTGGTAGTGTCATCCTGCCAGTGTCCTATAACCTATCCCTTGAGTAAATGAGTGGATAGAGTTATCAGAGCTTATTTCTTGGGTAGCATTGAGGACTGGGTTGGGAAAATGTTTTGTTAGTGGGATGAATTGTAAAGGACCTACCGAGCATGGGCCAACAGGCCTGCTGCAGTGATCCTCCTTTCTTATGTTCATCAACCACTATCACAACTGCTTCCACTCTACCACCACCATCTTTGTATTTTTCTACAAACTTTTTCATAAATTATGTGTTTCTCACATTCTTTACCAAAGGGCTGGCACTAGAAGCTTTCTTTGGTGGTAGAAGGTAGTAGTGATGGTGGTAACAGTTGTAATAGTGGTAAAGGTCGTAGTGATGGTGGTAGAGGGTTCCTTCTTTAGTGATTCAGCGATTCTACCAACTCCTCCAATGTTGTTGGAGTTATAAAGGGTTACAAAAAGCACCACCGCCTCAGCTGCCAGTTCACCACCATTATGGACGGCTTACTCTCAGTGGCCCTTATATACCCAACAACAGCACAACACCTCTCGTGACATACGTAATGACTTATTTTATTCATTCTAGAGTATATTCCATGTTTCTATGTTATTAATATTGTTTATTATGTCATATTAGTTGAATTGTGATAGATAAATAAGCCATAGAGTTGATATGACTTATAAGAAGAGACTTTAGTAGCTTTAAGAAGAGACTGGACAAATATATGAGTGGGAGGGGCTGGGTTTGAATAGTGTCATTGGGTACGGGAGTTAATTCTTGGGTAGCTTTAGGTAGAGGTCGTTTTGATAAGGACCTGCCTCGCATGGGCCAGTAGGCCTTCTGCAGTGTTCCTATATTCTTATATTAGTGTCATATTCTCCAACAATAAACTTGCCATCCCTCCCTCACACAAACAAATAGCCAATAAGAACATAACAATGGAAGAACACTGCAGGTCTACTGGCCCATACAAGGCAGGTCCTTATCAAAATGACCTCTACCCAAAGCTACTTAAGAACATAAGAATGGAGGAACATTGCAAAAGGCCTACTGGCCCATGCGAGGCAGGTCCTTATCAAAACGACTACTACCTAAAGCTTCCCTAGAAATAACTCCCGTACCCAATGACACCAATCAAACCCAGCCCCTCCCACTCATATATTTGTCCAGTCTCTTCTTAAAGCTACCCAAGGTCCTAGCCTCTATCACCCCACTGGGAAGACTGTTCCACGCATCTACAACTCTGTTAGAAAACCAGTACTTACCTATGTCCTTTCTAAATCTAAATTTATCCAACTTAAATCCATTATTCCTGGTTCTTACCTGGTTCGACACCCTCAGTACTTTATTAATATCTCCCTTGTTTATGCCCGTCATCCACTTATACACTTCAATGATATCTCCCCTCATTCTACGCCTCTACAGAGAGTGGAGTCTATCTTCATACGGGAGGTTCCTTACACAGTAAATCATTTTAGTCATTCTTCTCTGTATGTTCCCTAATGAGTCTATATCCATCCTGTAGTAAGGGGACCAAAACTGAGCAGCATAATCTAAATGAGGCCTCACTAGTGATGTATAGAGCTGTAAAATAACTTTTGGACTTCTGTTACTTATACTTCTTGAGATAAATCCAAGTAATCTGTTGGCCTTGTTGTGCACACTAAGGCACTGCTGTCTTGGCTTTAGATTTCTGCTTACCATGACTCCCAAGTCTTTTTTCACATTCTGTATGATCAAGCTCTACTTCACCTAGATTATAGCTTCGAGGGTTATTTTCATTACCAAGGGCAAGTACCTTACACTTATCCACATTGAACTTCATCTGCCATTTTTTAGACCAAGACATTAATTTGTCCAAATCGTCCTGGAGTTCATTGATATCCTCCTCAGAGTGAATTATACAGCCTATCTTTGTATCATCAGCAAATTTACTCATGTCACTCGTAATCCCTTCATCAAGGTCATTAATGTAAATTATGAACAAGAGAGGGCCTAAAACTGATCCTTGTGGAACGCCACTAGTAACTAATCCCCATTCAGATTTCACTCCATTAATGGTAACTCTCTGCTTTCTATTGGTAAGCCATGCCTCAATCCATGCTAGAACTTTACCTCCTATACCATGAGCTGCCACTTTTCTTAAGAGTCTT